GTTGGCTATTCCTCCTCTTCCTCAGAGTCAGACTCCACCAGGGACTCCAGACTCCATCTCCACTATTGTAAACTTTTGGGGGATTGTCTATTCAATTCTTAGTATTGTTATTGTCTTTTTGTTTTAATTTTTTTTATTTTGTAACTTATTTTGATTTGTTCCCCCCCCCGCCACAACTTATTTCTCATCCATCACCTGAATATTTTGTTCATCTTTTCTCATGTAGAAGACTTCAATAAAGAAATAAACAACTTCTTTATTGTTAAACGATACCCTCATCCAGGGGTGGGATTCAAATTTTTTACAACCTGTTCTATGGCCGTGGCTTGGTGGTCATGCGAATGGGTGGCCGTGGCTAGTTGATCATGTAGTTGGATAGGTGTGGCCAACTTGCCGTTACGTCAAGGGGTACCTTGCCTGACCTCTCCTTTCCTCAAAGAGATGCCTACTTATTTACTACTACTCAACATCCAAAATACACTATTTAATCCTATGTATATATGCCATATGTGTACATCCATATTACATACTATAGTGTGTGTATAGACACACAAAAAGATAAATTATCTCCTATATATACTTTGTGTATCTACACACACACACACACACACACACACACACACACAGTTCTTCCAAAACTATGCACATTCAACCTCACTACGTTTGGAAAAATACACCCAGAGTTCACTTTCTGCCACACATTTAACTATTTCTGTACATTAGAACATTACACACACCTTCAGATTTATATCCCTAGTCTGCACATGACCGTTAGTCATGAGATGTCATGGATTGAGTAAAATGTGGCAAAACTCACTTAACAACACTCTTGCTTAGCAACCAAAATTTTGGGCTCAACTGTCATAAGTGAAGGACTATATAGATCTGCCTTCCTCAGCATGGCAGCCTTGTCCTAGTAAGCTCCTTCTCCTTTTTGGCAATTTTCCTCTCTGTTAGAGGCTCCCAAATAATCCAGATGATATAAGGTCGCCTGCTGGAGCAGAGGGTTGAACTAGATGGCCTCCAAGGTCCCTTCTAACCCTGCTATTCTATGATTCTGTGTGAAAAACAGTGATGAGTCAATTTTTCAGTGCTGTTGTAACTTTGATATGGCCATAATGTGATTTGTCTGATTTTGGCTTAATGTTATATATAAATCTGGCTGTAATAATTTACAAATTCAATATCCTCTGCAAATCATGTCACTGACATTTCATTTATTTGATTTATACCATATCACTCCTAGCAGCTTAAGGCACGTATCATTGTTCCCTCCACCCAATTTTCTTAAACAACAACCTGATGAGGTTAGTTGAGCTGAAAGATAGATTGGCCAAGTCATCCAGAGAACTTCCATGTCTGAGCATGGATTAGATCCATATTTGTTTATTAGCACTTTAACCAGGGGTGGGATTCAAATATTTTAACAACCAATTCTGTGGGCGTGGCTTATATGGTGGGAGTGGCTTGGTGGTCATGTGACTGGGTGGACATGGCTTGGTGGTCATGTTATTGGCTGGGTGTAGCCAACTCAATGTCACTCACATTGAGGCATGCATCTCCTTGCCTGGCCTCTCATGACTGTGGGGATGCTGCAACAGTCGTAAGTGTGAAAAATGGTCATAAGTCACTTTTTCAGTGCCATTATAACTTTGAATGGTCACTCCACACAAGCAAAGTACCAGCAAAGGAAGGGAAAAAAACTCCAGAGACATTCCTGAGACAGGAAGTCTAGTCCTGCCAAGAATGTAATAAGGGTTAACAGAGAGGCAGTTTCTGTAAGCAACACCAGAATGTTTCCTTCCTGCCTTCCTTACAGGATTAGGCCAGTAATTTCTTCTAACAACTGGTTCTCCGTACTGCTTAGAATGTTAACAACTGGTTCTAGCGAATAGGTGCGAACTGGTAGAATCCCACCTCTGACTTTAACCATTATATGGCAGCCATTTTCATAAATCATGATTAAAACAAAAATATCTTAATTAAGTATCTAAATTGCAACCAACCCTCTCCCAACAATAAGAAAAACAAAACAAATAGCAGGGACTAATTAAGCAACTTTCAGATTTTATATTTTTCTTAAATTGCAACTTCTTGTTTGTATAACAAAACAAACTTACAGAATTGGAATTGAAAAATGTAAAACTGAACTCTGCAGATGTTCTGTAGAGGAAAACATCTTTTGTACTTGGACTTTGTGTCTTATCCCACTGATTTCTTTCTATGTTGTTGATAACTGAGTTATTGATAAAGATATTTCCATAGACTTTTGTCAGGATTTAATTTTGTACATAATCCCTAAATGCTAATGCTGATTGTTTGATGTAAGTTTCATAGTCACCACCTCATGCTAATAAATCTGGATCTAAATTCATGAAATCCTGGTTAACCCTCAAAAGAAACATCACATCATCTACAGAGCTCCTAAAACTCTGGTCCAAAAGCCTGAAGAAAAAGTCAAGCCTTACAGAAAGCTCATAGCCTTTTGCAAACAGAAAATCTGAAAACTTCTTAGTTGAGTTTAAGTTTATTTATTTTTTAATAATTTTATGTGTCCTTAAATGTATATTATATGGCAGAAGTAGGGTATAACAATAAGAAATAAGAAATTATTTTAATGCAAGGGTAGGGAGAATTTATAGTTTGGTTTGTGTAAAGTTTCATTAGTAGGAGTGTGATTCACAAGGATTTCATTGAGAAAGGTGCCTGTAAAATGAAGTAATTTGGCTGAGAAAATTTCCATCATGAGAAGACAGAAAAGAAATACAGAAAATGGTAATTCTTTGGTGTACTCTAATTGTGATCTGGATTTATGCAGCCAAAATCCCTGTACATTTACCAGCTCTCTCCCTCTTTCCTTCTCACCTATATAAAAATCATATAAAACATATCTTTAGTTCTTTCAGAATGTATGCTACCTTTTAATTACTTCTCAAAAGTAGTTACAGCATCAAACTTTATATTTCTCTTAGAATTCAACTAAAAGTTCCCTTTCCCATATGTTCCAATCTAGTGAAACAACCCTGTATGTACTAATCATCAAAATATATGTGTTTATTTATTTTCTATGGCTCGTAGGATTTTTCCAATTTAAACATCTAGAACTGTTCGACTCTTCAATTTTGCACAACCTTATAAAACAATCATTTTGTTTCTCTTTTCTTTAAGATCTTCTGACCATAAGATCTGAGATGGCACCATGTGATTCATTCAGCAAGATCTCTTTCTACCTCTTTGACAGAAAAAAGGAGCAACTTAAGAAGCTTCCTTCCAATCCCCAAGGCACTTCTTCAAAGTAACTGAGCTACAATAAGTTGGCAGGTTCTTGGATCTTATTTTACTCTATATTGTGTTTTTTTAAAAATGATATAGAGAGGTTAATTGGAATTTTCTCAACGCTCATATCCTAGGTTAGAGATAGCATTCTCTTGATATGATAATAATTAACTCAAATTCTAAGATTATATTGCTGTATATTTTATTTATTCATCACATTTGTGCATATTAAAGCTATGCTAAAATATTCTTCAAGAGTAGTTTCATATTAAAAGGGGTTCAGAACTATTTCTGTCATAGCATCTCTGCTGGCCCCATTTACAAATAAAATTTGTTGGAAAACACTTCTCACTGTTCGTGGGTGCCATAAGAGTTTAATACTTTCTACCTTAATTTATTTATAAAATTTATTTGCCACCCATCTTGTATACAACAACTCTCATATCCAAATAGCTTTTACTCATTTGTCTTCAAAAATAATAAGATAACCATCATGTATCAATAATGGAAAACCTATTCATTACCAGTGGTAAATGTTTACATCATCTACCCAATTGCTAAAATGGTTTTCTCCAGATTACATCTGAAAATAAAAGAATGAATATTTTACTCACTACTAGTCCTAGTATTGTTTTTCTTACATGTTAAGATGAACTTCATTTATATTTAAATACAGCTTGAAAAAATGCAACTTCTCAGCTTGTTGGTAAAAGTTATATGTGTTTGTGATATATATGATTGAAAAGATGGAGATACTTCATAACGAAAAAATTAAAGATACTGTATTTCACCATTCCACAATCTCTTTAAGTTCTGTTCAAGTTATTTCAACCCTCTTCCCTTTCAATAAATTGAGTTTCTTGGAAAAAAACAAGTTTTATGTCATTAGATTTTATTTTACATACATATAAAACACTGATAATTTTTTAGAGCTTTTATAGCAAAATTCTTTATCATACAAGCAGATGAAAACATTCAGTCTTCCCTAGATTGGCAACTCCAGTACACCTCCCATAATGTCCCAACCAAGATGCCTGTGAACTTGATGCAAAAACATGTTCATGACTTCAGAACTATCAGTATTTGGTTTGTCTGAAAAATAAGTACATTCTTGTAAAAAAAAAAAAAGGGCTTCCTCAAATAGTTTAATTTGGATTTAAAGCAATATGGAACGTTGTAGTGCAAAGTCATTAACCACAAAAAAGCTTGCTTAATTTGTCACTGCTGCATGAGTCTCACTGCAAATCTGATTAATGTGTCTGCTACTGTAAATGGAAGAAAGTAATTAAGTTTTATTATTGCTGTTCTAGAAAACCTGTGTTTAAAAAAGAAATAGTCTGCTTTGGAAATGGTGATATTAGAGTGAAAGAACATCTTAAGGTCATTTATAACAGTGAATCCATTGGACATTTAATAAGTTAGACTTTGCCATCAAGATTTCCCATTTGACTGCAATCCTCCACATGTTTATCTGGGGACCAGACCTACTGAACTTAATGGGAGATTATTTCTGAATAGTTTTGCCTTGGTTCGTACCTTAAGATATATATTGACATCATTTAAAAAATATCCCTCACAGTCTTCTAAAAGGTATTTTTGTTTTCCTTTTCCAGGAATGTCCTTTTAAAAAGCAAACCAACCATGAAGATGTCTATATACTAACCTGTTCTTGAGTTCCATTGTTGGTGAGAATGAGGTTGCAGTTTTGTTCCTGAGATACTTTGCCGCCACTCTTGGGTAAATGAGAAGCGGTTGGGTGATTATGCTGACATTCCAGCATGCATTTGGTAGACCTGTGGTTAACTCGCTCCCTCTCCATGTGTCTGCTTCTACAAAGCTTTGTCCTCATGATACTATGCTTTCATTCTGCCAGTATGTGCCCCAAAGGTTGCCTTTGCTCTCATTCTGGAGGTTTGAATGTCAGCTGCAGCAATGCGAACTTGAAAGAAATACCTAGAGATCTTCCTCCTGAAACTGTCCTTCTCTATTTAGACTCCAATCAGATTACATCCATCCCAAATGAGATTTTCAAGGACTTGCACCAATTGAAAGTCCTCAACTTATCCAAAAACATAATTGAATTCATTGATGAGCACTCTTTCAAAGGGGTGGCAGAAACCTTGCAAATGCTAGACTTGTCAGACAACCGGATTAAAAGTGTGCACAAAAATGCTTTTAACAACCTGAAGGCTAGGGCTCGAATTGCTAACAATCCTTGGCACTGTGATTGCACCCTTCAGCAAGTCTTGAGAAGCATGGCTTCCAACCATGAAACAGCCAACAGTGTCATCTGTAAGACCTCCGATTTAGATGAACATGCTGGTAGGCCATTTCTCAATGCAGCTGATGCTGACCTATGTAATATTCCTAAAAAGACAACAGATTATGCCATGCTAGTCACCATGTTTGGCTGGTTCACCATGGTGATATCCTATGTAGTTTACTATGTGCGGCAAAATCAAGAGGATGCACGCCGGCACCTGGAGTACTTGAAATCTCTGCCAAGCAGGCAGAAAAAACCAGATGAAGCAGATGACATTAGCACTGTTGTATAATGCACCCAAACCCTGTGACAGACCGAGGTAGCCATTAGGTATGGAGAGCACGGATACCAGCTGTTTCGTTCTAATATTCGTGGTCAATATGTTAAAGACTTTTTCCAATTATACAGAATTCTGCCACTGTCAATCTTTCTTAAAAAAAAAAGATGTCTGTTTTGGGATAATAACGGTACTCTTTTATTGTTTCTCTGGTGGTATTCTAAACCAAGTGAACTAAAATGTAAACATTAGTTTAGACTCATTCCACTCTTTAATAATGAAATTTATTTTTTTAATTTAAAACCAAATAAAAGATAAACTTTGAACCATGTAAATGCAGAGTAATTTATTGACCCAAAGACTGCCTTATAAGCCTTGTTTGGCTATTGCTATGTGGACAGATCACAGATTTACACTGATCAAAAAGTGATTTCAAATCAGGCCAATTCAAAATTCCTGAAATTGGCTCTCTGAATATATATCTAAACCTTGATATGTATTGATATATTTAGGAGAGAGAGTTAATTTATTATATGACATAATACCATTCTAGGCTCCTAGAATATACATAGTATACAACTGTCATTTAGATATTATCAAGTTAATGTTTGGCTAGTTCCAATCTGCTGAATTCAAGTGATCCACTTTACTATTGATTTTGGCACTCATATATTTTTATTCTGGCTGCCATGCAACAACGCAGCGTTCCATAACTTGGTACCGAGATTTTGAGTTTCAAGTCTTATCTGCTGCAGATTTGGGGAGTTGATTTCTGAAACATCTGGTGGATATTAAGAAGAAGTTTATTGTAATGAACATAAAATGTTATATTTGAATAGATATGTACTAAGTGTTAGAATAGTTTTTGTTTTAGCTTAAAAGAGAACATTGGAGAATTTATTTGTGCAAATCTTTTTTGAATTGAGTTTGAAATATAATTTTTCTTCCCTCTTCTTTCATTCTAAATTTTAGAAAATCCACATCCAGTATTATGTAAGTTATTTCTCATATGTATGAAAGAGCATATGCAAATAGTTTGCAGTTCTTTGGCTCAGTCTTCAATTTTTACTGTGTATCTGTGAGATAGATATAGAAAATCTTGTCAATATTTGATGAAATGGGCTGGATTCTAACCTTAAAATCCATAGGAACGTATTGTATAATTAATTAGAACCTGTGACGCAGATCAAGATCCCTGGAATTGAAAGCCCAACTGTGCCAGCTATTGTCAGTATTAGGTTAGGGGAATCCCAGAGCTATTGACTATACTAGAAAGTTTAAACAAAAAAAAAGCGGTGGCAAACCATTTCTGCTACCTGCTAAGGGAACCATATAGAGGTTTTCGATTAGAACCCCTTTTATACAGAACCATTGAACTGATGGGGACACTCAGACTATTATCTAACTCCCTATTAAGTGCAGAAATCCAAATTAAAGCGTTTCTGTGTCTTAACAGACAGCTCTATATCCTCTTGCTTCATTGAATGACAATGAGAAAACTAGCTCTGAAAATACATTTTTCCCCTAACAAAATATTGTTAATGTTTTTCTAATGTTCAGTCAGAATTGTTTTTTTCTATCATTTTAACCTATCAAGATTAAAATATGATAAACTTAATCTAGCAAGATTTATTATTAACAAATATATGCTGAAAATAGTTTCTTCATTGTTTTCAAAGTGCTTACCGGTTGCTGTCTTTATTTTCATCTTTAGGTCTTCCCAAACATCAATTTTAGATTGGTCTGAAGTTTCTTGAGTCCATCTATTGAACAAAGATATGAATTTTGACTTTCTCCAAGTCATTTAGCATATCACGAGGTCTCAAGGATTTTTTCAGAAATAATTCATAAATGTTTGGTTAGACCATTAGCAACCTACCATGTAGTTCATTAAGCCTTAGATATTTAAATTATTCATGATAAATTGAGATTTCCTGACCTTGAGCTTCAAGGCTTGAGCTTCAGTCCTTCCTGTTGAATATGCTTATGAGTGGTAAAATATATATATTCTTGTTAGAGATGATATGGTCAAAACAGGAGTTGGGTAGTTCTGTTCGCATTTTGCTTCTGTTTCTTTAATTTTAAATATACTTAAAGAAAACCTATTCATTTTTCTAATCCTCTACTAATTTCAGCTCATTCTGAACTTTAGATTTTGTGTCACCATTTCTACAATTTTGAGTGTCTCACTGTACTCTTACCTTGGTAATCACTCTTTACTAGTTTTTGTTTCTTTATTTGTTTTTCAGAACTCAAGTGTTTCTGGAACTGGGCCTTATTATTCAGTATTTCAGTATCTTTATTTAGTTAGACTGTTTTGAATCTCTTGTTTCTTCATTATATACAAAGAAATATACCCAAAGTGAACTGGCATCTGAAGCTAATGGAACAGAGGCCTGCCAGTGGACCTCAGCCTGTTAAGTACAATCATACAATGCAGTACAATTAGTTCTTCACACAAACTTGAAATACATAGAATAACCTTATTTAATCTTGTTCTATGTAGCTAGATGTAAATTTGAAGAACTAAAATCCCAACACTAACCTGATCAGGTAATAATCTGAGTTTGGTTCTGATTTCAAAGGTATCTTCTTCTTTTGGGGGCATTTCTTTAATTAATTAATTATGAAATTACTATAATATTGATTCCTGACAATCACATATCAACAATTTCTAAGCTTTTTAAGGGAAGAAGAGACACTGGATGACTTCTTGAATTAATCCAGAAGCACGTAAATTTCTTTATGTGTTCCTCATACATTCTGAAACATATTTCAGTTGAGAAATTTCAAAGTACTGAAATTGGAGAACCCAGCACTAATTTTTCCTTCCAGACAACCTTTATTTGGAATATATAATTCAACCAGTGTTTCAGTCTTTTGCTTTACTATTGAATTGAACATTGAATTAAACTGTTGAATTGAATTCCAGAATAAATAGATTCATGAATATTAGAAAATATGTATCTCTAAAGGAAATACCCTCCTTGGAAGTAATTTGTGTAAGTTTTAATAAATTGGATACTTTTCTTCTTTTAAATTGTATTTCCAGACACTACCCTGGCATAACAACACAACCTGAAAGTGTCTATGAATCAGCGCAGTTTCAATTTTATTGAACAGGGATGTTGTCATGTATTGATTATATGCTGTCTTATTGTCAGGAACAAGCTGTCATCACAAATCAGCTAAACTAGACAGTTGCTTTATTACATACTAGTTTTGCAAAGGTTATGAAATTAGCATAAATTGACTCATTAGAAAACGAAACACATGTAGCTCTCAACTTACAAAAATTTGTTTAGTGACTGTTTAGAGTCACTGAAAAAAGTGACTTATGACAGCTTTCATACTTAATGATCATTGAGCATCCCTATGGTCACATGATTGAAATTTGGATGATTGTATTTATGACAGTTGCAGTGTCCCTGGGTAACGTGGTCACCTTTTGCAACTACTGACAAACAAAGTCAACAGGGAGACCAGATTCACTTAACAACCATATTACTAACTCAGTAACTGCAGTGATTTACTGAACAACTGAGGCAAGAAAGATTATAAAGTGGAGCAAAATTCACTTAACTGTCTTGCATAGCGATGGAAATTTGAGACTCAATTGTGTTTGTAAGTCGAGAATCACCTGTAGTCAAAAAAAGTCAGATGCATTGTCCATTGATTAATGTACACCACTAATACATCATAAACCATACCCATCTAATTTATAAAATTAGCATTCATTTTTTGGTTACCATATCCTCTTTTCAAACTGTGATGCTATATTCAGAACTTTATCTCTCCTTTCCAGACTTGAAATTAATTAAAGTAATGGAAACAGAAATAAGCCTTTTTTATTTTATTACTGTAACAGAAACCTACTTTTTAACCCTAAGAAAAGTTCGAAAAGGGGGAAATGTCAACCAAACAAAAGAGAAAGGAAGAAAATCCAATTGCTGTTGATAAAACACATTCTTCATTAGATCAATTAGCTTATTTCAAGAGTAATACAATATAAATTGCAACAAGGTGAAAGCTTGAAAGAAAAAATATTAAGTCACTTTGAAGCATACAATAAAGTAATTTAATTATTCAGGTATGTGTACAAAGTCATCTATATAGTTAGAAAATTTTACTATTATAAAAAACAAAAATCAGGAATTCCAAAACAAAAATAAGGGATCAGAATTCATATATGCTCTTAAACTCTCACAAATAGAATGGATAAAATAAATTTATGATAATTGACAAATGGGGGAAAAAAGGAAAATCTCTGAATTATCCTTAGTTTTTGAGGGGAAAAATCAGTTACAAACATTTTCTGCAAAATAGAGGAGCATTTAAATGCTCCTCTGTCTTAATAAAAAAAAAAGTTAGTAATTTCAAAAGTCTCACAGAAGTGAGCAGCATGAAGACAAAATAAACATTTCAGATATTTATATCCATATGAACTATAATCAAACTCATTACTAAGCTCTGTAGATCTAATGCAGTTATCATGTATCAGTTTCTTATTCTATGAATTGGTACCTTCAAAAACTAAATTAATCTTGCACTGCTACAGTAGTCATTCACCCTTATAAACGACCATAGAGGCACTGCAATATTCGACCCACCCCCAACTGGACTCCACAGGCACTGGGCCTGTGAAGACTCATCTTGCAAATATCTAGCAAGCCTTTGGTTTCTTTGCCTGCTTTGTTGTTTCACGCTTTTGGTGCATTTGCAGAGAACAGAGGCCTAAAGTAGTGTGAGATCACATGAGATCATCAGCGCGAGATCTCACGCTACTGATCTTTATATGATCTTGCACTACTTTAGGCCTCTGTTCTCTGCTAATTGAGACCTGGACAAGATCTGCGGCCAAAGGCCTTGCAAACTGATGAAAGGCTTTGGTTCTTCAGACCTTCCCTCCAATTGCTGTTTTCTTGCCAAGCCTGCAGGGATGTGAAATTGTGTCCCTGCAGACTTGAGTCGTCTTTGCAAAACCCCTTTGCTGGCAAGAAAGGAGCCTGAGAGTGGCAGATGCATCCCCCCTGGGCTCTGTTCTTTCTGGCAAAGCTTTTTGCAAAGACAATCAGGGTCTAGAGGGACACAATGTCCCTCTAGGCTCCAGCAAGC